TTTTTTTTTTTTTTTGGATAGTAAAACAGTATTAAATTGGAATAAAGATGGAGCAAAGAAAAAAACCAACCACCATAAAATAAATGTTCTGTATTTTTATTTTTTTTTTGCAATTGTGGAGTAATTTGAAATATTCAAAATACACAATCCGAATCTATCAATACGTACGTACACATAACAGTTTTTTCATTTGCTGCTGAAGCCGATTAGTATACTGTACAATGGCAGATTTTTTCTTCTTTAATGCTGTATTGTGGTTTTACTGTTTTGAAACAGTTAATAAAGAATTAGAAAAGAAAAAAAAAAAGTAAATTACAAAATTATTAACCAAATTAAATATAAGTCTTATTACAGCTATATGAACTTTCGGATGATGTAAAACGAAAGGAATGGCTGGACGACTGGTTGGGTTTTATGCATCGAATTGGTAAGTTTGCTGAATGAGTTATATTTTGCCTTATATAAAAGAACTGCAACTTTTTTTTCTTTCTATAGGGTTTCGTTATTTTTGACTAATATAATATTAGTAAATAAGAAAGTTTTTATACATTTAGCTTCAGTATGGCAACAGTTTTGGGTTAACAATTACTGCCGTCCGATAGAACAGCAGTTGAGCGACAGTACATTATTCAACTGTACAAAATTTTTTGGTATCTATAGTCAGATTCTGGATATTAATAACGGCACCAAAAATCTATTTTTGTTGTTGTACAGTGTTGAATAATAAGCTGAAAAAAAAAAAAAAAAGAAGAACAACGAAATTGAAGAAAGTCAAAAAAAAAATGGTGACAGGAAAAAATAGATAAACTGTCTAAAGCGCTTAAAACTATCTTTAATATTAACCTTTTTTTTTTACTTAAATTTTTATATTTCTATGAAGAAGATGAACAAAAAAAAAACATTTTTCTAACCACAAAACTGTGTAAACAGTTTTCTCAACAAATATTTTTGTGTTAATAGAATTCTACAATTTTTTTTTTTTTTGCTTTTAAATATGCCATCACAGTTTCGGGTATGAAGAAGACTACTTTAGAAGAATTGATTCATATTTTCAACAAGTGCCTCTTAATTGACGTCCAACAGTCAATAACAGCAACAAAAAAAGTCAAAAAAATAAATTCCTACACAAAATTTGCAATTTTTTTTATTAAATTTTTTTTTTTCAAATTTGTTTTTTTTTTTTTACTTTCGTATTACAGTCTGCAGTATTCCTGAAAAATTTAAACAAAAAAGACAAAAAAAAAGATACGATACTTTTTGTGGTTTTTGTTTTTTTTTTTTTTTTTTTTTTTT